ATATAGATAGATAGATAGATAGATAGATAGATAGATAGATAGATAGATAGATAGATAGATAGATAGATAGATAGATAGATAGATAGATAGATATAAAATTGTGTGCTTGAAATCCTAAAAACATTTTACCCCTCTTGACCTCACGGATAGATCTCATTGTCATACCATATTTTTTAGCATGGTGCAACTATTTGGATGACCAAGAGAAAGAGCTGTCCGTGGTACTGAAATGAGAGCACAGCACGTGGCCTGGTGCGTTACTATGGCTACAGCTGTCTGTATCCCTAAAATAACCATACACACACACACAGAGAGTAACCTTATTACAAAAAAATGGCAATCTGTTCAGTTCCTGACAGCACAGTGGTCACACTGATAAAAGCGGACAAATATCGTTTTTGTCACTAATGCTCTCAAACTCCCTCCGAGGTACCATTTGGAAAATCAGCACTCAGTGCTATGCAACAAGTAACCTGCTGTTTTTTCTTCCTTCATGCCCTTAATGCAGGATAAAAATGAAGGGTGCACATTTACAGTATTTTTTTTGGTTTTTTTGTTTCTTGTATTTTTTTTTCTTTGTGTTACAATGTGTCCTTTGTGCTCTGAGGCAAATTGAGAAGTTGGCACTTTGTAGGCTTGTCTTTTATAAAGTGCTTTGAGACAAACTTTGTGATTGACTGACACATGCATCAATTTGCACAGTGGGAAACAAAGCTCCACCGGGCCACTTTGCATATTTGCAGCTCCAAATACAGAGAAAACTGGCTGAAAATGTTGAACGCAAGACTGCCAAACCTGTGTGACACACTGACCTGGGGATAAAATAGTGTATATATCCATTTTCAAAAGGACAGATGGCAGCACGTTTATTGGTGGGTCACCTTACTTTTTGAAGCTGAGTATATATTATGTTGCATTATGGAGAAGAAATGCAGTAAACAAAAGCTTAAGATAGTGAAGAATGGTGGAACAAAACAGTTCTGGGATATAAATGACCTTACTGAGAGTTAGAGATGATACCTTCCATTCTCTTCTGCTTACCCAATTCAGTGTCACTGGAGTGCTGGAGCCTATCCCGACTGTCACAGGGTGAGAAGACAGGGTACAACCTGGACAGGATGCTAGTATTTCACAGGAGAAAATACTAGAATTATTTATGTATTTAATATACACCAAGCAAATGTTTAGAATGTTTTAAACTTTTTAAACAGATACAGTGCATCCAGAAAGTATTCACAGCACTCCACTTGTTCCACATTTTGTCATGTTCCAGCCTCATTCCAAAATGAATGAATTAATTTTCTAGACACAGTATCCCAAAATGACAAAATGAAATAAGTTTGCTTTGAATTCTTGCAAATTTATCAAAAACAAAAATATAACATCTAAGTATTCACATCCTTTGCTCAGCACCTTCTTGAAGCACCTCTGATAGTAACTAAGACTCTTTTTCATTATGATGCTACAAGCTTGGCACACCTATTTTTGGGAATTCTCTCCCATTCTTTTTTTGCAGAACCTTTCAAGCTCATCAGGTAGGATAGGAAGTGTTGGTGCCATTTCTCAAGAGAGGTTCAAGTCTCAGCTCTGGCTTGACTGGTCAAGGACATTCACAGAATGATTTTAAAGCCACTCCTTTATCTTGGCTGTCCAGAGTGCTCAGGAGTAGGTTGTCATCAAGGATGTCTTTGTACATCGCTGCATCCATCTTTCCCCAACCGTGACCAGCCTCCCAGCTGCTGAAAAACATCCCCACAGCATTATACTGCCACCACCATGCTTCACTCTAGGGATAGTATTGGCTACGTGATGAGTGGTGCTGGCGTGGCTTTCTTCTGGCCACTCTACCATACGGGTCTGATTGGTGGAGTGCTGTCCTTTTGGGAGATTCTCCTTTCTCCACCGAGTAAAACTAGAACTCTGGATCGCTCCCTTCTTCATTGGGACCTTAAATACAGGAGAATTTTTCTATACCCTTGCCCTGATCTGTGCCTCGATACAATCCTGTCTAGAGGTCTACAGACAATTTCTTGGATTTTATGGCTTGGTTTGTGCTTTGACATGAACTGTACATGACTAAATCTTGTATAGACAGGTGTGTCCCTTTCCAAGCCATGTCCAATCAACTTAACACAAGTGGACTCAAGTTGTAGAAACATCAGAGAGATGATCAATGGAAACAGGATGCACCTATGCTTAGTTTTGAGTGTACCTGTTATATTTTTGTATTTGCTTTTTTAATACATTTTCAAGAATTTCTCTTTGTCATTATGGGGGATTTTGTGTAGAATTTTGAGGTGAAAAATGAAGGAAATCCATACAAGAATAAGGCTGTAACATGACAAAATGTTGAAGAAAAGAAGTGCTGTGAATACTGTATCTGTATGTAAATGGGCAAAATATGTAGACCAAGGAAAAGCTTTCAGGCACTGGAAACTTTCTAGTTTCTGTTTGTACTACACCTGTCGTCCCAGTTTTATTGACTGGGCTTGTATGAGCAGTCTTTGGTTACATGCAGGTAAACAGTCCAGGTGGAGAGTAAAAGAGCGATTTCATTTCAAAAACATCTGCTGTCATGAGATGCTGGACACTAACTTTAAAAACTGTACAAACAATTAGTCTTGAACTGGGTAGCCATTATCTGCTATCCACAGATCCTGGCTAAGTGAACAGACCAGCAGATGTGTCCCACAATAGTCTGCAGCTTAGCATTAAAACACAAGTCAGACAGAAACAATTGGACAATGGTCGCACAGCCTGACTGGCGACCTGTCCAGGTTGTACCCTACCTCTCACACTAAGACAGCTAGAATTGGTCTAGTTTGCTTCAAATGTAACTAAATTTGTTGTTAAGTTCTTAGGAAGTTTGCTGGTTAACATATTTAATCTTAATTGTGGTCAGTTTGGGGTTTTACGGAGAGATTATGTGTTGAACTATGTCTTGATGGGGAAACAGCAATTTCCTGAGACATGGAAGCCAGTAACTTTAGAAACTCACTGCACCTGGTTACTCAAGTCACACAGTGAGTGTGACTTCACATGAAATCACACACATGAGACTTGTGTTTCATAATAGACAGATATTTCTACATATACATAAATTACAGCTAGATCATTCTTGTTTCTTCAGTAATTGTATTAAATAAAGCTAACTGATATGTGAACAATATCAGTTCACAAACTGTTAGAATTAGTTGAATAATCTGCAGCTGTGTTTAATTTCCAAAATAAATGTCTTGCAGAGTCATGGCTTAATGGTGCAGGCTTCAAGCGAGTGGCCACAGTACTCAGCGAATCTTCCTCGATCCATAGTGATGCGCTGTGCTACCTGAACAAGGACATGTCCGGGATTGGACTGGAACCCATGTCCTACAGCACCCTGGAGCCTGGACCTTATAGAGAAGACTCATGGGCTGAGGAATCACAAAGTCTGCTACAGGTAACTACAGGACCAGAGAAAATGTGCATGTGTGGGGAACTATAATAACATGCTTAAAAAGCTATAATATTTTTGGGGAACCAGTCTAATTTTTTTCCCCTTTCATTCTTTCATTACCAACTTCCTCAACTAAGCCAATCACGTAATATTTCCTGCTAGCTCATGTTTCATTGCATTGCATCATTGTATGATTTATCATGTCTCATTAAAATGACCCCAGATAAGACTGTGATAATGATGAAGGAGGCCAGTCTCTGAGGTTTAATGATGTTTGTTCCTGTACTCTTTCAAAATAAAAGTCGCATCTGAGATATTTGAGCAGCCTAGAATCACCTCGGACTGACTTTGAGAAGAAGTTTAAAATGAATGTAAGAGTAAGGAAAAGATTGAGCTGAATCTGTGTGTGTGTGTGTGTGTGTGTGGGGGGGGGGGGGGGTGTTGTTCTACAATACACTCTTTATAATGCTTCAAAACACAGCTCACAGAACATGTATATACTGATGCAACGCAAAAATGTGCTCGCTTCTCTTTCTTTTCTTTGCAAACCATTTCCTTACACTTGTACGTTAGTCCCTCCATCACACAAACACAAACGCACAAAAAGAAAGAAAAATCTTTCAAATTTAAAATAGAAAAACTGACATGCTGTGAACAGCACAGATATGCTGCTGGGGCACAAAAGCACTGTTTCAAAAACATTTTGCTGCTTTAATGATGTGAAAACACAGGTCTCCCTGCAAGTTACATCACCGAAGTGTGGAAGCAGCCAATGCTGCTCCCTCTCTCCACGCTGCAAAAAGTGTCCATCCTAACCACCTTACCCAAAACTAAAAATGAAAAGTAGCAAACACTTTGGGGAGTCCTATATTTTACTGTAAATAAATTTGGTCTTTTTTTCAGGTGGTTGAATGTCATATACACTCCAAAAAAAAAAAAAAAAACCTACCCAAAATGCTGATTTTAACTAATAATGTAAATTGTCCACGTAATTTTGTTACATAGGTACAATGTAAAATGTAATTTTACATTCAGGTTAAAGATTAAGTATGTAAATAAATAAATATTTGAATATAGCGACATGTATACTCAAAAAAGGAAAAAAAAAATCAAATTAAAAAACTCAAATTAACTGAGGGTGTTTTTTTTTTCCCTTTTTTGAGTATACATGTCGCTATGAGCAGCAAGACCAAAACAACATATTGGAGATGGGCATTTTTTACAGCGTGGGACGCTTCTTGCCAAAAGCGCAGGCAGCGCGCAGGCAGCCTCCAGATCACACAGTTGGATAGATGGGTATCACCAGCATGTGATCAGGCTGCCGATTGCATACGAACTGCCTCATACATCTGACAGACAAAGAAAATAATGAAACCTGAGACACTCGATCCGTCGCTCCACCTGGACTGTCGACTAACTGGAGTGACTTCATGAATCTGATGGGTGGGATGGGAGGGATGATGAATCCGGAGGTATTTTTCTGCCTAAACCGCCAACTTTCACTCCTGCTCTTCTTCTTCTCCCACTACTCCTCCTCTGTGTGTCTTTAAAGCGCAACAGCATGCAGGTCTCCCCGAGTGAAGACAAGATCCCAGTAAGTACAACGGCAGCCTCCCCGCACGCCGCTTCTCTTGGTCTTCTGGTCGTGGTCTGGAGTTAGTTTTTACTACACCTCAGTGTTCGTGACATATTTACGACTCTCTATGGTAGTTTTCATATTCGTTTTACATTTGGTGACATTGCCGAAAGCTCGGCTTTAATTTTTGATTTGAAGTGTTTCTCCATCAACTATATTTACTTGGAACCTATAATTAGTTAATTTGTCCAGGGGGCTGCAAGAAACGTAAGACGACGCTTTCGATTATACGTGAGAACATCATAATTGGCTATCATATACCACTTTATGATGAGCAGACAGTTGAGGCTCAGTAAAAGGTTTAGCGACCTCCAGGGAAGGTCTTCCCAGGAGTTTTCATTAAGCTCTTAACAGAACAACAACTACCAGGGGATTCTTGGTACTGGTTAAACTAAAGCAACTAAAAATCCCTGCACACCTGTCTCTCTCGCTCTTTGTTATGTGTGAGCAAACACAAGCACTATAGTGAAGCTCCAAGAGCGTGACTGTAGCAGCGTTTGTGTCCTGTACAGTAGTACAGACAGTATGTATTGTTATGCGGTTATGCAGTCAAAATAATTAGACCTTTCGTAAGTAATTTAAGTAATAGTCTATAGACTTTGTACACATACAGCAAACAGTTTTTGTAATAGCAACTGTAGCTGAAGCACAAGAACACCCGAGACATTAGGAACAATGCGCTGGAGTAATTTACACCGTTACACAGGTGTCTGTTGATTAGACCCTAAGTCGGTCGGCTCTATACTAACTCAGCTTTTCTTGGGAGTCCGCTCTGCAGCGACTTTTAAAGTTCACATGGAGTGTTGTAAACGAAGTGGAATCTGAAAGTGAAGACACGGCTCAAAGGTGAAATAGGGTCTTTCATCCAGCAGGTGCAGCTAATTAGCTTGATAAAAGGAAACACCTTGAACAAACTACACCGATGAGCTAATCTGGTGAGACTTGGCAACACATGCTTCAGGAACATCTAAACTTGTTTTGACTTGCCTGAGCCATGAAATAAGTCTCACACCTTCCTGAATTTACACTCATTCGGTTTGTTCTACCAGGGTTTACATTTATCCAGTACTTGGCGAGATAGACAGGAATTCAAATGTCTAAAAAAGGCCTAGCTGTTTGGTGCGCTGTTTGTTTGGTTAACAATGGGCAAGTTAAAGGTAGCTAAGGGAATTATTATTATTATTATTATTAATTATTGTTTTGGTCATTTTTTTTGCTTCAGTCATTTACTGCAATGTGTTTGCCAGGGGTGTGTCCAGAAGAAGGGCATGGGGTGGCACTGCTTCTCCCAAAAAGGAACTATTTCTGTCATGCTTGTTTCTTTGCTTCTATTCTACTATATATTGCATTAACATATTATTATTTTTTATTTAAAAAACCATCACCTGCATCATTAAAGTGATATAGAGTGAACTGAACTGGTAATCATGACATCCTCTACTTAGGATGAATTACAGATACTAGTGTTTAAAAGAAAATGCGCCGGTATAAGTTCAAAAACTGGTTCATTTTATTTACTCAAGTAAAAGTGGAAAATGAGCAGGTTCTGAAATGTACTTTAAAAAAGTAAAAAGTAGCTCTTTGGAGGATGTTTCTACTACCTATTTAACACTAGTATCTATTTTTATGCAAAGCAAACTGAATTTTGTGCTATATTAATGTCACATAAAAATAATATTAGAAAACAGGAATACAAACATGATTTCTGTCTAAATTGTAATTCTAATAAAGGTACTCAACTTGAGTCAGGTAAGCAGAACATGAGCAGAGAAAAGGAAGGAGGAAAAAAAAATAGCTCCATTTTCTGTTGCCTGCATTGTAGAGGGTGACTTTCCCTCTAAACAAGAACATGAGTAGGGTACAGGGTAAAGTGGGACTCAGCAGGTGGGGGAACCCTAAAATCAGCTGAAATGGCCCAACATCGGAACAAGAATCACAACTCACAATAATTTTTATCGAGCGGTCAAGTAGATTTTCTTAATGTACCTGCTGTGATCAGTTGATTGGGGATACTGCAGCTCTGAGGTTTACTGATCTTTGTGGATATACACTGAATTTAACACGATGTCAGCAGGTGTTTCATGAGTTGTCCTGATTAATCTCCATCCTCTACACTGACAATATGCTGTTTATGCTGTCTTTATACTCTAGGGTATACAGTTGGCGTGAAAGGTGGAATTCAGTTAATGAATCTAAGCATCATCATCATTAAACTAAATTAATCTCTGGTGCCCTTTAAACCATGCCTCATTTTGATTTGCTGCATGTTTCACAATATGAAAACCCTCCCTTAATACCACAAAAACATGAGGACTTGCATGCAAGCTTTAAATTTCCATTCATCAAACACAACTGAGCAGTTCTTACCTTTAAATCTAACTTCTCTTCTTCCTCTCCTGTCCTGTCTTTCTTATCTTTCTCCATTTCTGAGTGAAGTTCACTCTCTTTCTTTTCTCTGACTGTGGAAAAAAAGGATTAGGCCTACACTGTTGTCTTGTAATGTAGTTTTCAATCAGCTTTAGTGATATTAAGTATTGGCAGATTCAACAAAATTACTTTCAATAGTGATGCTAGCTTTTTCTAGCTATATCATATCAGATATTTCTAAAAAGAAATATCTGCCTTGAGGCGACATTTGTTTTGATTTGGCGCTATATAAATAAAATTGAATTGAATTGAATTAAAAACCAAGCTGTTAAACTTAGCATGTTTTTTTTTCTTCTTCTTCTTTTTTTTAGTGAGCTAGTCTATTTCATGCGCAAATAGTTTAAAATGTAAGCACTTTGTGATCGTTCATGTGGTACATCTTCTCTCTCCCTTGGTCTCTGTTTTGTCCTGTTTCTGGTCACGGCAGATGGTTACCCCCTCCCTGAGCCTGAATCTACTGGAGGTTTCTTCCTGTTAAAAGTAGTTTTTACTTTCTATTCTAAGTGTTTGCTCATGAGGGATTGTTTGACTGTTGGGGTTTTGTCCAGAATACTCTGGTCTTTACTTTACAGTATAAAGATGACACTCGCTGTGATTTGGCGTTATGTGAAAAAACCTGATGTGTATTCAACCAAAGCACAGTGTGTGTTTAGGTTAAAGTGTAACAGAGTAATACAAGAACATACATTGCATTGCTATACTGCTGTCTGGTAAGAAATCTCCCATCATGCTCAGAGTATAGAGCTTTGCCTCTTGTGTCCTCCATGTTTAGTCTCGCTCTCTGCTTTCCCTCTGTCTAAATAAAGAATAAAACAGCCAAAGGTGAGCTGACTGCCCACTCTGCTGCTGAAGGTTCTCACTTCAGTGTTTTTGAGAACCTGCCAAAAGCCACTTGTGGTTGTGTGCACTGACACTGCAGTAATGTTTAAGTTCATTCAAACACTTATTACATAACTCCACTGCTGCTTAAAGGTGTCGTATGCTCTCTATAACCAGTTTGTATTTGACTGGGATACACTACTATAATTATTCTAAATCTTTTAGGTTTTTTAATATATAATGCACCAGTATTGATGTTTGCTTGATATTTATATTTTACAGGTCATGGGATCAACTTCAGGTCCTCATGCCATCGGAGAAGGCCTTTACTTCAGTGACGGCCGACGGAAAGTCGACTATGTTCTGGTCTTTCATCAGCGAAGGCACACCTCGATACGATCTCCTGCTAGTGCCTCCGTTTCACAAGACCGGTTATCTATTGTTTCTAATGGCAACTTTCCTTCAATGGCGGCCTCAGATGTGGCACCAGGTGGAAGCGGTGGTGGTGGTGGTGGAGGCGGCGGCATTCCAGGAGGGGAGGGTGCGGGCGCCAGCGAGGTGTTCATGGAGCTTGGAGGAGCAGGAGATGGCGAGCCAATGGAGCCCGGTGACCATGAGATACGTCTAATCAGGCAGGAGTTTGAGGCTAACCTACTAGAGGCTGGTTTGGAGATTGAGAGAGACAGAGAGGTGAGTGTGTGTATGGCCATGTTAAGCTTCTTTTATTCTCATCTGCACAACACTGGCTAAATTTAATGCAGATGACAGGTAGACTTTAACAGACACTTTCCAAAGACATGTAGTTAGTGGGATCAGGTTAATTGGTCATTCTAAATGGTGTCAGTTGGCAACCTGTCCAGGGGGTACCCCACCTCTCGTCCTATGGTAGTTGGAATAGGCCCCAGCCCCCCTGCGACTCTGATGAGGATAAGCGAAAGTGGAACTGAAAGTGGTATTTTAACAAAGTGGAAGGAAGCAATTGGGAACAACAGCAACTAAGCCACTAAGTGGTAGAACACGTAAAATCGCAGAGCTAGGTCAGCCAATGCTGAGGTGAATAGTGCGCAGAGTTCGGGTATATGTAAAAACCATTAGTTCTCATTAAGGCTTAGAAAAAACTATAGCTTTGTGGGTTTTTTTGTTTTGTTTGTTTTTTAAATTTATTTATTTATTTTTATCCCAAATCCTTGAGAAATAAATGGGATTATAATTTGACACACTAGACTCTAATGTGTTTTTGAACACAGGCTAAATTCTATAGCTTCACTGACTTCACAGGCTTTTTGAAGTTGAACCTCTACACAGGATCTGACGTAACACTATCTTGAGCTATTTAAGGTGAGCGCCTACATAGGAGCCTGGCTCAGATAGTAGAAGGAGGTGGGAGAGACTGTGTAACATTAGCAGTTGTACTTTGCTCCAGCAAAATTCTTGTCTTGAGGTTTCTGCTGATTGTACCAAAGTGTTCAATCTTCTTTAATCATCCTGCTGCTGTGGGACAAAACAACAGAAAACCTACATGAGTCATCTCAATTTAGGGCAGCTGCAAAGTGGGTTTGTCTTTAGGGGCTTTAAGTTGGTGATTATATTTTAGCCTAAACCATATTACGATATCGCCAGTCTACTTGTGTGAAATTATGAAACTTTATTCCTCTACATAAAATAAATATTTTCATAGGTACTGGTTTAGACACCCCATGACTCTGTGGGCTCCTGAGGTGTGGGGAGGGTTAAAAAAAAAAGGGGGGGGGGATACAAGGAATTTGCCACTTGAATAAACACACATCAAAATAGAGATGCTTTACAAAATGGAAAGTCAGAATAAATGTCAGCATTGTGGGGAACATGGACAAAATTCATCACTGAAGTTCACCAATAAAAGCAAACAAAAACCTCTAGAACTTACAGCAGTTTCACGGAAACTTCAGTAACATTGTGGTTTTAGAGAATGGCGGCTTACTGTGTCAGAAATGGCTTGTATCCAAGGGCAACCCACTGATGCATAACTTGGTGCAAGCTGCACCAAACCTGCAAACCTGAGTGATGGGAGAAAAAAGTCAAGCCTGAGTCATTCAGCCTTCTGCCTTCATCCGTAAATGCCTGCAGAAAGGAAACCTTTAACTGTCAGTGTTTTCTACCATTATAGATGGATCTGTGTCTACTGTGTCTACTAAAAACACAGAGATTGCTCTCTGTTGAACATGGGCTGGAATATAGCCAAATTATCAGCTCAACAAGTTGAATTTGGTGTGTGCACATTCTACTGCGTTCCCGTACACTGGGCTATGTCTATTTACCACAAGTGATTTCATCACGTCAGATGTTTTGCGACGCACCTTTTGCCACAAGACGTTTGCAAAGTCTTACCTTGTGGCTTACCTTTGCTGCTGTTTTCTGGTTACTGGCAGTCTAAATTTTAATTTTTATTTATTGTAATTTAACATATCAGCAACTTGATGCACTAAGGCAGGTAGATCTGGTCGAGATGACCTGCAGAAGTTCAAACTGAGCATGGGGAAGAAGTGACTTTGAGCATGGCATGGTTGTTGGAAATGGTTGTTTGCGTTGCTGGACCTCTTTCTAAAACCCAGCTATGCATAATCTGAATGCACAACATGTCAAACTTTGGAAACTGATGGGCTGAAGGAGCAGAAAACTGCATTGGCTGCCACTTCTGCTGTCTAAGAACAGGAAACGGTACCTGTTATACAACCTGGTGTGATGAGTTTCAATTACTGATGTGACATTTTGATCTGAATTTGGCACAAATAAAATGAGGCGTGGATCCATCCTGGCTTGTATGAACTGTTTAGGCTAATGGTGGCGGTGTTTTGATATGGGGGCGTAGTTTCTTGGCAGACCTCAGTACCAACTGAGCATCAAAGCTCAAATGATCTCAAACTAGTTTCTTGAACATTGTACTTAAATGGCTTCCAGAGTCACAGCTCTCAATCCCGCAGAGCACCTTTAGGAAAGGGTGGATCATAGATTATGGATATGCAGCAGACAAATCTGCAACAACTGTGTGATTCCTATATGTCACTATGTAGCAAAAGGAATATTTAAAACACCTTGTTGAACCGTGAAAAACAAAGAAAGTTCTGATGGCAAAAGGGTGTCCAAGCAGGGTGTACCTAATAAAATGTCCAGTTAGTGCAGATCCTGTTTGTTTTGAGTCAGCATCCACAGTGGCCTTGATGTTTCATCGGTGCTAAAAGCCTTTAATTCTGGTCACTTTAGCTGACACAGCTGCTGCTCTGACCTCTGCATCAATTTCCTAATTTGGCCTAAAACGGCTAATTTTGTTTTGACACACACAAATCACTTTCGCTCTCATTGTGTGTTACTGGCGCTAGCTTGTGTGGCTCTGTCCTGCTTTTGTTGTTTGTGCGTGTGTGTGCGCACGCATGCATGCATGCATGCTTGTGCGTGGAACTTGGCACAACACACGGCCTATGTGCTCTGCCTGCTTGTGGCAATGATGCTCCAGGCTTACTGCCACAAAGTTGTACAAATGTAGTTTTTGTTAAACTTCAGTTTGTAGTTAATGAGCTTCTGCTGCACTTTGGCTTCAACAAGAGGATTAAATTGTTAAATTTAAGCGATGCTTACTTGTTTCACTCGTTAAGTTAAAAAAAACAAAATAGATTTTTTACACAGCACAAGGCAAAAACAGCACAACATGTACTCTAAAATGTTTAAGAAATAATAGTGTACTGTAGTGTCTAACTTACCAGTGCAGGGCTTGTCGTGTGTATGATACCCATTTTGCTGTGTGTGTGCGCGCGTGTGTGTTGGCTGGCAGCCAGTTGGCAGTGTGTGGAGTCTGCAGGCTGGTATTAATCAGATTGTTGACAGTGTGGCAATGGAGCCTAAGCCAGGATGAGATTAACTGACTGACTGATAGCTCTTTATCTCATCTCACAGATCTAGGGCTAAAATCTGCCACAGAGAGAAACAAACATCCCAATATCCTTAATTTGAACAAAGTGGGAAGCACTCTGACAAACATAACTGCTCTCCTTCCATCATTGTATAGGCCGCACTGGGTGAGAAGCAGCCTTACAGATATAAGTCATGTACCAAAAATCAATTCTCCACTGTACTCTGTGTGCACATAATAAAATCGGGTGAAGCTGTTCAACATCAATCATAGTTAATCAAGTGCATACAACAGAAGTACAAACTGCACCTCTAACTTAAAATAAAGCAGGTAATTAACCGATGGCCTGCTGGCGTATGTTGGTAGTTAAGTGTTTTCCAAAGGCTTTGGAAGACACTTTTATTTTTGAGAGATTAGGGTCAGTGTAAGTGTCTCACTCGACACTGCTTGGGTAATGATAAATGTCAAATGTCATTTTGCTTGAAATGTTTTAGCATTTTGAAGTTGGTAACATTAGTCTTTTTTCCCCCAGTGAGAATCTGATGCGTTTTAAAATGTTCCTTTATTTACATCTAAAAGCTTTCTATCTAACATTTGAACGCATTCACAGTCTGATTAACGCATCAGGAGCAACTCACAGCTTAGTATCTTACGCTAGGGTACTTTGGCACGCAGACTGGAGCAATCAGGGATTGAACCACCAACTCTGAGATTAGTAGATGGCCTATCTACCTCAGCTACAGCTATTCTTGAGTGAGTTAGTAGGAATAGTTTTTGCTGTTCTGTTTTAAAGATATATACATTGAGCATCACCAGTAGCAAAGTATATTTTTATATAATAAAAAAGATGATCCTTATTGTGCCCAACCTGTTTGACTTCAGATTAACTCGATGCTGCAAAGCAGAGTGACTGAAATGTTAAACTTGTTGATTGTGTCTCAGGATTATTGCGCTGACCTTTGATCTCTTAGGGACATCCTCTTAGAGAACACGCTTAATTAAATCAGAGCGAGATTTTAATTGAAGAAGTAGAGCTGGGACTTGTCAAGATTTCAGTCCATGGGGTTTTTAGAAACATTTTAAACACTTAAATGTTATGTTAGTATTTCTAGAGGAAGGCATGGGAACATTAATAATCGGAAAAAATAAGCATGTTCCACTCGTCTTCTAAAACATATTTGTGTTGCAGTGGACTCCATGCTAGGATTCATCCGGCATCTTGCCTTAGTTTTAATTAACCAAATGAATAACAGCTCTATACTTGTGCTAAACATGCAAACTGCAAACCATACAGTATTTTTATACATGAAACTATTTTTCTTCCATTTTACACCGATACAGTGACTGTGTATTTGGCAGTAAGTGCTGCCAGAATGCAGCACTATGTAGATAAAAATGTAGCGCCGAAACTGGTGCTCTGCTAATATTTTTGTCCTGTTCTTCCCACGTAGACACTTTGTCAGCAAAGTAATTGCAGCTTCAGTCCATCACCTGTCTGTAACTGAGTATATGCATACACAGTGTATGTAAGTGTATGTTACCTGCATTTTGGCTGCGCTCTCCATCTAATACACCAGCAATGTTTGGTTTTTTTTGGTTTTGTTTTTTAAATTAATTTTTTTTATTGTTTTCAGTGTAAAGGTCAAAAATCCAACAACACTTGTGTGTGTACAACACCTTGCTAGTCTAGACCTGTGTGTTTCAGAAGTAGGCTAAGGTGTATGAAAACCACCTACTCTGTTCCTAGTGCAAAATGAAAGAAATCTTTTTATTTTATTTTATATGTATATTTTACTTGGTCATTGAA